GATTAGTCCATTTTCATGCTGCTGAGAAAGACATAACCAAGGCTCAGAAGAAAAAGAGGTTTAATTGTACTTATAGTTTCACATGGCTGTGGAGGCCTCAGAATCATGCCGGGAGGCCACAGGCTCTTCTCACATGGTGGCCCCAAGGGAAAAATGAAAGAGCTCATGCCGGGGAACTCTCTTTTTAAAGCCATCAGATCTCATGAGACTTATTCACTATCACGAAAACAGCACGGGAAAGACTTGCCCCCGTGATCCAATGACCTCCCACCAGGTGCCTTCCACAACAGGTGGGAATTGTAGATGAGATTTGGGCGGGGACACAGCCAAATCATATCACAGGGTGAGTCACGGCTGTTGGTAGTGGTTGGGGTATAGAAGATAAGGAGACAGGAGTACGGAGTCCATGAGGGTAGGAGGTGCCAGGGGACAGATCTGTGAAGCCAGGAACATGGGAGCTGATGCAGTTGCCAGGGAGAAAGCACCTGGATGCCAGGCTATTAGAAGCAGCAGCAGTTAGGGACTCCAGAGCCGGGCAGATGGGAGAGCGCTGAGGCTCCCCGTGTGCAAGTGGAACTGCCGGCTGAGGGCTCGCCCTGTCTGTGTGCTGGCTGCTCTTGTTTGAGAGGCTGCACCTCTGGGGCTGCTCAGTGGGGCCGAGTTCCATGTGGACTCAGGCAGGTTTATGTCTCCTGAAGCTCAGGCTGCTCCCTTCTCCCTTCTGCTTCTCACACAGAGACTGAGCAGGAACCTGTGGTTTCAGGAGTCGGTGGCCTTTGAGGACGTGGCTGTGTACTTCACCCAGAACCAATGGGGCAGCCTCGACCCTGCGCAGAGGGCCCTGTACAGGGAGGTGATGCTGGAGAATTATGCAAACGTGGCTTCCCTGGGTAAGGCCTCCCTCTGTGGCCGGCTGTAACACTTTGCTGACTTCCTCAGATGTTTTGGGGATTCTGGTAGCCCTAGGGTTTGATGACTTCAGAGGAGAGTTTGCAGTCACCAGCCTCCAGAAATACTGGGTGGGGAAATTCTTGCTTCTCCTTTTTTTTTTTTCTTTTTTTTGAGACAAGTCTAGCCCTGTCACCTTGGCTGGAGGGCAGTGGCGCAGCCGTGGCTCACTGCAGCCTCAAACTCCTGGGGCTCAAGCAGTTCTCCTGCCTCAGCCTCTCAAGTAGCTGGGACTATAGGTGTGTGCCAGTATGCCTGGCTTCTCTTTGGTTTTGAAACTAGACTTCCTTATTTTCCACGGAACAGTGTGGTTCTGGGCCCTGAGGGAAAGTGTTCTTTTTTTTTTCTGAGATGGAGTTTCGCTCTTGTTTCCCAGGCTGCTGGAGTGCAATGAAAGGCGTGATCTTGGCTCACTGCAACCTCCTTCTCAGGGGTTCGGGCGATACTCCTGCCTCAGCCTCACGTGTAGCTGGGATTACAGGCATGTGCCACCACGCCTGGCTAATTTTGTGCATTTTTAATAGAGATGAGCTTTCTCCATGTTGGTCAGGCTGGTCTCGAATCCCAACCTCAGGTGATCCGCCTGCCTTGGCCTGCGAAAGTGCTGGCATTACAGGTGTGAGGCACTGCACCTGGTCGGGAAAGCATTCTCTCGGGCACCCTAGGTAAGCCCTTTGTTCCTTCATCCATCCTGTTTTCTGGCGATGTTGGCCCTCCGTTTGTGGAAGAGTCTCCCAAGGGAGCAGCACGTGCATCGTTCCTGACGGAGCTTCCCTTCTTCTGAGTCAGGGCCAGCTTGCAGCTTCTTTGGGAGGAGAATCATACCTCCTCGGCTTAATGGTGGAGCACAGTTTGGACCTCCCTGGAAACTCTCACTTGGTCTGCTGGTGTTCCATTTCTCTCCCAGGTAGCCCGACGGAGGGTGGGCTGAGAGAGATCCCAGGAACAGCTCTGGACGTCTCCCCTCAATTTGTCTTTCTCTTTTTCTTCATGAGGTAGCGTTTCCATTCCCCAAACCTGCTCTAATCTCCCACCTGGAGAAAGGGGAAGCGCCGTGGGGACCAGATCCCTGGGATGCTGAGATTCCGAGTGGCATCAGTCAGGGTGAGTGTGAGAATCCCGGGCTTCAGTTTCTTGTTTGGTCTCCCTGCTTTACTAGGAGAAGTGTTGTGTATGCCGCCGGCAACAGGGCTCCCAGTCATTTACGAGTCGATGCTCACCGCACTCTTACCTTACGCTGAGTTCTGACCCTGAGCTTCGAAAGACCACCTCTGGGAGTCCATGGCCACATGTCATCTGCACATTCATGTGGCTGTCCTCCTAGGCCGAAAAACTGACCCCGTAGCTCCTAAACCACTTGTTTCTTACTTACCAGTGGAAAAGTTCTAAGTGTATGCCACTTTTCATTGCAAAGAAGTGGGGTTTCAGGCAGCTTTAAGGAAAATATGATTTTGGGGGCCAAACTGATTTATTTGTGCTATAGGTGTGAATTTTACTTTAGGCCTTCAGCCCTGAAAAGAATGGNGTGGAGCACAGTTTGGACCTCCCTGGAAACTCTCACTTGGTCTGCTGGTGTTCCATTTCTCTCCCAGGTAGCCTGACGGAGGGTGGGCTGAGAGAGATCCCAGGAACAGCTCTGGACGTCTCCCCTCAATTTGTCTTTCCTTTTTCTTCATGAAGTAGCGTTTCCATTCCCCAAACCTGCTCTGATCTCCCACCTGGAGAAAGGGGAAGCGCCGTGGGGACCAGATCCCTGGGATGCCGAGATACCGAGTGGCATCAGTCAGGGTGAGTGTGAGAATCCCGGGCTTCAGTTTCTTGTTTGGCCTCCCTGCTTTACTAGGAGAAGTGTTGTGTATGCCGCCGGGAACAGGGCTCCCAGTCATTTACGAGTCGATGCTCACCGCACTCTGACCTTACGCTCAGTTCTGACCCTGAGCTTCGAAAGACCACCTCTGGGAGTCCATGGCCACATGTCATCTGCACATTCATGTGACTGTCCCCCCTAGGCCGAAAAACTGACCCCGCAGCTCCTAAACCACTTGTTTCTTACTTACCAGTGGAAAAGTTCTAAGTGTATGCCACTTTTCATTGCAAAGAAGTGGGGTTTCAGGCAGCTTTAAGGAAAATATGATTTTGGGGGCCAAACTGATTTATTTGTGCTATAGGTGTGAATTTTACTTTAGGCCTTCAGCCCTGAAAAGAATGGCTTGAATTAGCCTTTTTAGTATGTAAATCACTTAAGAGTTTCATTTTCTCTATAATCTTTATATTATCTACATTATATTTACCATAGGTGGGACTCTAGAGGAAAGAGCTAGGAATATTCTCCCATGATAGCCCCCTGCGCGCACGCGCACACACACACACACACACACACACACACACACACGCACACACGGAAAGGACTAGGAATACTCTCCCATCATAGCCCCCTATACACATACATACACACACACAGATGGGTAACCAGCACTGGAAGGTTTTGGTTACCTGCGTCTCCTTTTTCTTCAGAAGAGAGTTTTCAAGCCTTGTCACACATACATGCTTTTGTATTCAGTGGTTCCTTTAGCAGTGGTACTACAGCGGCTTACAGCTCTGATCCAACTTCTGTTACAACTGACTTTCTGAAAGTCATCATCTTTTTTTTGTTTGGTTTTTTGAGACAGAATTTCGCTTTTGTCACCCAGGCTGTAGTGCAGTGTTGTGATCTCGGCTCACCACAACCTCTGCCTCCGGGTTTAAGCGATCTTGTGTCAGCCTCCCAAGTAGCTGGGATTACAGGCATGCACCACCATGCCCAACTAATTTTTTTTTGTATTTTTAGTAGAGATGGGGTTTCACCATGTTGCTCAGGCTGGTCTTGACCTCCTGACCTCAGGTGATTCGCCTGCCGCGGCCTCCCAAAGTGTTGGGATTACAGGTGTGAGCCACTGCGCCCAGCAGTAATCATCTTCTATCTTATAATATTGTGTGGGATATTTAAATGTAGGCTAATTTTTTTTTGTACTTTTAGTAGAGATGGGGTTTCACCATGTGGCTCAGGCTGGTCTTGACCTCCCGACCTCAGGTGATTCGCCTGCCGCGGCTTCCCAAAGTGTTGGGATTACAGGTGTGAGCCACTGCGCCCAGCAGTAATCATCTTCTATTTTATAATATTGTGTGGGATATTTAAATGTAGGCTAATTGTTTTTTGTACTTTTTGTAGATACGGGGTTTCACCATGTGGCTCAGGCTGGTCTTGACCTCCCGACCTCAGGTGATTCGCCTGCCACGGCCTCCCAAAGTGTTGGGATTACAGGCGTGAGCCACTGCGCCCAGCAGTAATCATCTTCTATCTCAGAATATTGTGTGGGATATTTGAATGTAGGCTAATGAGAACATCGTTTAGAATCTGACGTGATTTCCTGGGTTACAGGTAGGGGATTGGGATCCATTTTTTCCTGGTTTGTGTTTCTTTACAAGGCCTCTTGTAGTGCTGGAGCTGCTTCTCTGTTTTCCCCAGTCCCTAATTCCTTTTTCCTCTTCTATGTTTCTGTCTATCATCAAAAAATTTTCCCATTTCTGGCTGTTCTTTCTTATTCTCTTCTTTTTTTCCCCCGTCATGGCTTCTTTCCTTCCCATTGTTGATTCTTCTTCCCATTTCACTTACCTTAGTTCATTTTCCAGTCTTTCTCATACGGAGCACTTCCTGGCTGTCTTTCCTGTTCTGTTTTGTGTCTTTCCCTCTCCAATTGTATGTCATTATTTTTCTGGTTTTTTTTTTTTTTTTTTTTTTTTTTTTATGACAGGGTCTGGCTCTAGTGTCCAGGCTGGAATGCAGTGGCATGATATGCACTCACTGCAACCTCGGTCTCCTGGGCTCAAGTGATCCTCCCACCTCAGCCTCCCAAGTAGTTAGGACCACAGGTGTGCACCATCACGCTCAGCTACGTTTTTTATTTTTTGTAGAGACAGTGTTTCACCACATTGCCCAGGCTGGTCTCAAACTCCTGAGCTCACCTGCCAACCTCCGCCTCCCAAAGTGCTGTCATTACAGGTGTGAGCCACCACACCTGGCGTGCCATTCTCTTTCTTTGTCTGTCTCATCCTCCTTTAAAGATGCTTCTGTATAAGCATGTCACACGTATATCTTTAACGATTGCATTCTACAAGAGAAAATTAGGACCACTGGATTCTACTTTTCTTCCAGTTTTGTAACTAGGGACATTTGTGGTTTCTTTGGTCAGGTGGTGAGTCCTGGATCAAAAATGAAGGTCCAGTTATAAAGCAGGAAGCCTCTGAAGAAACGGAGTTGCACAGAATGTCAGTAGGAGGACCTCTCAGGAACGTTTCTCAGCACTTTGATTTTAATAGTAAGGCAATGAAG